TATAATCACAAATGACTGCTGACCTACTATTATATAACTTTATTAGTACATATAACAAATCATTTTTTTAATACCTGGCTTTGGTATCATACTAGGTGGGAGTAATATTTGATTTTTTGTTGATGTAAAAGTGCTATCAGTCTTAGAGCTTATTACTGGACTTGATGTAGTCAATGGTATATTAGGAGTGAACGGTAACTCAGGACTAGAGACATTCATCATAGAGACACCTGTCAACATACAATATTAACAATATGTACACTGTAATGGAAATGGGCACGTATTTAGATGGCCGTAACTCAAAAAATTAAAGTCGGAATCAGCTCAAACTTTCTACACAGCATAAGTACATCAATATGTATCAGAAAATGTAACAAAAATTTGGGGTGATTTTCGAGCCATTTTTTGGAAAAAACCATGGGCTATAGCCTTGGGTATTTTTTAGAAAACGGCCAATTTTTTATAATGGCAATAACTCAAAAAATTGAAGTCAGAATCAGCTCAAACTTTCTACACAGCATAAGTACATCAATATGTATCAGAAAATGTAATAAAAATTTGGAATGATTTCGGAGCCATTTTTTGGAAAAAACCATGGGCTATAGCCTTGGGTATTTTTTAGAAAACGGCCAATTTTTTATAATGGCAATAATTCAAAAAATTAAAGTCGGAATCAGCTCAAACTTTCTACATAGCATAAGTACATCAATATGTATCAGAAAATGTAATAAAAATTTGGAATGATTTCGGAAAATTGAAGTCGGAATTAGCTCAAACTTTCTACACAGCATAAGTACATCAATATGTATCAGAAAATGTAATAAAATTTGGAATGATTTTGGAGCCGAATTTTTTAAATGGCTATAACTCAAAAAATTGATGTCAGAATCAGCCAAACCTTCTACATAGCATAATTATATCAATATGTATCAAAACGTAGTGTTTTTATTTCAAAGCCATCTTAAAAGCATGAACTATATATGAACTATATGTAGTTGGTGGTATGTTTCATACAGTGGCTCATTGTACATACCAGTGGCACTAGAAGAATCCTGTACAAT